GCATGTGGGTTCCCTCGATGTCTGGCTGAAGAGTTCGTGGTTGACTTCATGTCTTCTCACTGGTTCCCCACCATACAAAACTGAACCGCTTCCTCCATTCCCCGCAAGCCCCATCGATCAGCCCCGACTCATATCCATATCACTCTCCTCGCAGAGCCTCAACGGCGCACCACGCGCAACTGCAACACTGCCTAATAACCCCAGCACCAGCTCGTCCCCCTCTCCTAGAACCCCACCATGAGCCTGAATTTACCGCTGCGGCCGGCCACGAACAACACCTCTTCCACATCCATTAATACCCCCAGCCGTCGGAACCAGGACAGCCGGAACTATTTCACTAGTTATACCCCGCCGAGCTCGACCGAGGCCATCAATGGTCCGGTGCGGGAGCCGGCGAGGGATCCTGCCCCCATCAGTGACCGTCTCATCGTAGGAGTTGACTTTGGCACAACCTTCTCAGGGTGAGTTCATATGTCCTTACCCCAGTTTCTAATCACGTTACGTTTCCTTGCCGTTATCTTCAATCACGTGGGGCGATACTGCCAGGCTGTTCGACAGAGACTAAATAGACCTTTAGGGTTGCTGCTGTGTACACATCAACTCCGGATGATATAGAGATCATCAAAACATGGCCTGGAGGCAATGGAATCACCTCTGACAAGGTGCCAACTGAGATCGCTTATGACTTCCCCGCCAACTCACCGGCTGGGGCTGATCCGACGGTAAAATGGGGGTTCCAGTTCAAACCTGAGGAATCTCGGCTCCGGTGCATAAAGCTCTTTCTGGATAGGACCCAGAAACTGCCCTTCTATGTGAGCCCTTTGGACACTGCTGCGCAGCTCAAACGCTTCAACAAAAATGTGGTTGATGCCGTGAGCGACTACTTGACCCAGATTTTCGACCACACAATGAATACGCTCACCAGACGCTATGGTGAATCCTTCATGGCCTCTACACGAGTCGAATTTGTCCTCACATGTCCCGCTGTCTGGAGTGATGCCGCCAAAAACACAACCCTGCAGGCCGCCGAGCGTGCGGGCATGGGTAGCAAGTCGGAAATCCAGATGATCAGCGAACCCGAGGCCGCGGCCGTGTATACACTCAAGGCCATTCAGCCGAACCATCTGAACGTTGGAGATAATTTCATTGTTTGTGACGCAGGAGGCGGCACTGTTGAGTGAGTATCTTTCCCGTGGCGTGATATTTACCAAATGCTTGATCAACTCTCCGGTGAACTAATATGTGATATGCCAGTTTGATTGCATATAAAATAATTTCCTTGAAACCCCTGCGCGTGGAGGAATCTGCTGTCGGAACTGGAGGCCTATGTGGCAGTGCCTTTTTGAACTATCGATTTGAAGAACATGTAAGGAATCGCCTGGGTCAAACACGGTTCGACGAGATGAAGCAAAAGAAAGGCAAAACCTGGCAAATGGGCCTTCGATACTTTGAGGAATTCGTCAAGCGGAATTTCAATGAGGATGAGCATCAAGAAATCAACATCCCGTAAGTGGACAGGCGAAACCCCCAAGTCGGTGCACCAAAGGAAGGGAATATATTAACCTAGTCAGATTCCCTGGACTTCCCGACGACGAGGAAATCGGCCTGGATTCGGGATTTTTGGTCATGACAGCTGTCCAGGTCAAGGAGATTTTCGAGCCCGTCGTCAAGCAGGTGACGGATCTTGTCCAAGGCCAGGTGACCGGTCTACGTGCAAAGGGAGGCGTTGTTTCGGGTATCGTGCTTGTTGGCGGTTTTGGACAAAGCGACTACCTTTACCGGAGGCTCAAGAGCCACTTCACAAGCGCAGCACCGCCACCTTACAGCGAACGCCCGACTCATTCCAACGCAAAGTCCATCGAGGAGAATGCGTCGATTGAGGTCATGCAGCCTGTTTACGCCTGGACGGCCGTGGTGAGAGGCGCTGTCCTTCGAGGCCTGGAGGGTAACATGGTCATCTCTCGCAAGTCACGAATGCACTATGGAACGTCATACGCTACCGTTTACGACGAGGACAAGCATTCCGTGAGCGAAAGATATTGGTCGCCGCTGTGGGAACGATGGATGGTATCCGACCGAATGCAGTGGCACATCGCAAAGGTAGGCGGACTCCTTTTGACCTGCCATTGAAAGAATTGCGGACAAGAGTTGAAAGGCTAACATGATTGGGTAGGGTGAACCACTGTCGCCCTTATCTCCCATCGCATTCCACTATACCCGCAACTTCCGACCCGGCCAATCCCTGATTGTGACGGATGATCTCATTGCTTGTGATGCGGATGAGCCCCCGGTTGCATACACTCGCGACCTCATCCACGTCTGCACCCTAACGACGGATTTAAATGCTGTCCCTCGGAGCTTGTTTACAAGACTCACAACCACCAGGGGTGTTGAGTTCGACAATCTCGACTTTACGTTGGAGATGATTGTTGATAGCGCTGGTTTAGGTTTTGAGCTGAAGGTTGATGGTGTTAGATACGGGCGAGTGGAGGCCGAGTTCCATTAGAAGTTAATCAAGACACTCTTAGAAATCACGCATGGGAATGATTGTCTATTCATCAATAGATGGGGAAAGGATCAGTTGTATGGCTTATCTGTGCTCAGCCTAAATGCTGATGATGCCATCTACTTTATGTGCACTCTGGCAGTAGTTGGGTAACACGGCAGCTGAGGGATATACTTGATAGAGTCGGCAAGGTCGATGGACAGGGTAGTGGACTAATGAAAAAAGAGAAAGCCGGTACGGTACCCAACTTGCTGGTTGCTACACTGATTGATTGCTACTGGTTTCGACACGAATCGGAGCGAGCACGGCCATTTCCACAAATTCTGATCCCCACTGTGTCTGGCCAGAGCGAGTAGAAACCGGAAGCCTATGACGACGACCAGGAAGAACCATGGCGGGGGAGGGGCAGATTTTCAGTCTCTGTCTCTGCTGCTGTTGCGAATTATTAACGCGGCAAAAATATCCATGGGAGAGAATCTCGGTGAGCAGTGTGCATAGGTACATAAGCAGCCGTAGCAACCTACCTTATTTTCTCTTTTGCTTCTACACCTCTCCATGTGAGGAATGGATGTGTCGCTAATTTGCCCTCCCTTGTTTTTTCCCTGTCGCTTTCAACGCCCCTCTTATCGATTAGATTCCGACACTCATTTTGGAGCCAGTTGAGTGAACCTCCCACTTGGAGAGCGAATGTGCAGGTTTTGTTGAGAACCGCATCCCCAATGGCTGCCGACCCTCGAATCAACACTCTGGTTCAATGGGCTTCGAGCCACGGGGCCGTCTTGAACAGCCATCTCGAGGTCCATGACGACCCCGTCACAGGCTTTTCGTTCCGTGTCAAGGACGGGCATGTCCTCCCTGCTTGGGAGACGGTTGTGAGCTTGCCGACGTCCCTCTCACTGTCATACCTCAATGCCGTCTCGCAGGGCTGCTTCCACCCGGAACTTGTTTCCAAGACGCCGCCGCACGTCGTGGGTCGCTTGTTCCTTGTCAGGGAGTACCTCCGCGGCAAGGACTCGTTCTGGTGGCCGTACATCCAGGCCCTGCCGCAGCCGGGTGACGAGACGAGCTGGGCGCTGGCGCCCTTCTGGCCCCTGGACGAGGCCGAACTGCTGGAAGGGACGAACGTCGAGGTCGGACTGGAGAAGATCCGGCGCGACGTGAAGAGGGAGTACCAGGACGTCACGGCTCTGCTCAAACTGCACCACGCCGACAAGGAGGGCGACTTCGTCCGCGCTGCAACCTCCCAGCTGTACAAGTGGGCGTACTGCATCTTCTCCAGCCGGAGCTTCAGGCCCAGCCTCGTCCTCTCGCCGGCGGCGGCCGAGACCCTCCCCGGGGGCGTCAAGATGGACGACTTCTCCGTCCTGCTGCCGCTCTTCGACATTGGGAACCACGACATGACGGTCGAGGCGCGCTGGGAGCTCAGACAGGGCGGCGACAAGGACGCCTGCGAGCTGAGGGTGGGCAGGGAGCACGGGGCGGGCGAGCAGGTGTTCAACAACTACAGCATGAAGACCAACGCGGAGCTGCTGCTGGGGTACGGGTTCATGATCCCCGCGACGGAGGAGCTGCACAACGACTACACGCACGTGCGGAAGAGGACCGCGCCCGCGACCTCGGGGGTTGCGGCGGACCCCGGGGAGTACTACATCTCCCGGCGGCCCATGGACCATCCGAGCTCGCTGCTCGGGCGGAACAGGCAGGCTCTTGTGGTCGAGCTCCCGCGGGGGAGGCCTATACTGGGGGCTTTCCGGCATGTGCAGCCGGACATGGTGTGGGATATCTTTTGCACGCTGGCGGAGAGCCAGGGAACATCTGCCACCGAGTTGATTTCGACGGAGGAAGGGGTGGTGGAAAGGGAGGAGGAGCGAGAGAGGCAGCGCAAGTTATTCAGCGGCGCGGTGGATGAGGAATGCGGGCCGTTCCTGGAGCAGACGGTGGCCATCATCCAGCACAAGATGCTGCAGGAGCTGGAACGCCTCGAAGAAACCGACGTGGAAGTCGTGGGAGGGGAATACATAGGGGACTTGGATGACCTGAATGGGAACCAGAGGCTGGCCTTGGAGTATCGAAAGCGGTGCCGTGCCGTCCTGGAGAACGCCCTGGAGGCTATGGAGACTGATATAGAGTAACGGGTGGGTGGGCGTTTGTGTAGACACGAGAGAGGAGGATAGATTACGATGGATACAAGGATTACACGGGCGCAACAGACAGGATTGGGAGAGGATGATATATATATATATATGGGTTTTCTTCCTTTATTAGGGTTTTGGGAGGCTGAATTGCTGCACATGTTAGAGCAAAGATATACTAGGGTGGGCTTTCCAAGTTCTGATAGACACAACGCTCCAGCTCATCGTAGAGTTTCCCGACAACAGAGTCGCCGAACGGCTGGACGTTTGTGAACAAGACGGCTCCTATCCCGTTCGTTCTGTCGATCCACTGTGATGAGAAAAAAGTCATTAGTTCCTAAACCACAAAAAGACGAAACCCGATGCTGGCTTCAGGGGAAAGGGGGGGGAACAAGTTTTTTCTTACCCATCGAGAATTACAGAACCCGCTCCATGTCATACTCCCCTTGGCGCGCTTCCCAGGGACATCCTCGAGGTTCACGAGCCCTGCGAGGCCGTGGTCGATCTCCAGACCCGCTGGGAACTCGGGGGCAAAGCCCTCGTGGGACCCGGGCTGGTACACGATCTCGCGCAGCATGGCGCGCTGCACGCCGTCAAGCTGGGGCCGGAACATCTCGTCCATGGTCTCCTGCTTCAGCAATTCCCCGCCGAGGAAGGCCTTCATGAAGATGCTGTAGTCGCGCGCGGTGGAGAACAGCCCCGCGCCGCCGCTCTCGAGGGGGTGGTCGCTGTCCTTGTCGACGGGCGGGGCCGCGGCCTCGAGGGAGCCGTCACCGCGGCGGCTGGTGTAGGCCACGGACCTGGCGTCGAAGTCACTTCCGGGCCAGAAGGTGGTGTCGCCCATGCCGAGGGGCAGGAGGATGTGGGCCTTCATGTACTGGCCGAGGGTCTGGCCGGTGGCGGCCTCGAGGAGGAGGGCGGCCCAGTCGACGGCGGTGCCGTACCACCAGCCCTCGCCGGGGGCGAACTTGAAGGGGGTGGTGAACCCTTCCCTGGACCAGTCGAGGTTCCTGGCGGTGCGGCCGACGTAGTTGGACCACTTGATCAGGTCTGGGTCGGGGATGTCGTAGCCTAGGCCTACGACGTGGGTGAGGAGCATGCTGTTGTTATAAGAAGGGTGAGTACAGAACTGTGGGAAACATGTCTTGCTAATCCAGATTCAGGTTTGGGAGGGGTTATGGTTCAGTACCGGAGAGTGATGGGTTTGGTGCTGTCCTCGAGGATGGGCTTGTCACCATCAAAGCCTCGGAGGATTTGATTAGTGGCCAGCTCGGGGATGGTGGTGCGGACGTCGTCGTCAAGAGGGAGGGTCCCACGCTCGACCAGCTGCATGATACATGTGATTGTGATGAGCTTGGTCAGGGAGGCGATGTAGTTGAAGGATTTACTGTCGAAAGGGCGGCCAGTGTCGACGAGATCGATCCGGCCAGCTGAGGACTCGATAATGGGACCTTGTGAGATGAGATGAGTCTCGGGTGAACTAATATAGATGGATAATAGCTCTCGCAGAATGGCTCTTATAAGACTTACGATCCTTTGTGACGACGGCAAACGACGCTCCGATGAGCTTCTGGTTGGTGTCCAGATCTTTGCCGGCTGTGTATTTTTCGAGGATGGCATGGAGCTTGGCTTCCATGGTCCCAAAGTTAGACTCCATGATTCATATACGATTGTTGGAATAGTTGTCGAGGAGCTATGAGGAATGTGAAGGGGCTTTTTCGTAAAGTGACCGCGTCACAGCGCTCAATTTATATGTAACGAAACACCCTCGTCGACTATCTTTAAGATTGGTTGTGGATAAATGAATTGTGGTTGCCTGGCTGCTAACCGTACCCCGATTGTACTCAACCCTGTAAGGACACGTTTTAGAAGGTTTGATGAACAGATGGACAGATCTCTGTAAAATTAATTTGAAGCGGAAGTGGAGAGAGAGAGAGAGGAAGCGGCGTTGAAGATTGATCGACACTTAGAGATGTGGCAGGTGGGTGACAAAAAGGTGGCACACAATGGCATCTTCAGGTTCCAATGTCTGTAACACCAAAACTGCGATAAGTATTCTACCTATCAAGACAATTGACACAAATTAACGATTACTATTTCCCAATTACTGTGTTATTATTGTCCATTAAAGAAGATTACATCCACAACTTACATCTCAGAGGCTGAGGGGTGTTCAATGTGCCACGTTTTATGTCAACATGAGCCATGATGACTCATCAGAACCCAATCAGAGTACATAACATGTGATAGTCCGCATCGTGGTTTGGCACAGAATGGCTCAGTATGGGAAGATCATAGTATGGGAAGATCACTCGAGATGGCAACTAGAATTTTTGGCTGAGGTGCTGGAACTATCCCTAGGGAAAGGAACTGGCCTACATCTCAGGACTGTGGCGGGATGCAAAGGCTCTACATGCCTATCTGGGTGTATGGTGTTGGCCTTCACTCTAAATAAAAGCCGATACGTGTCTGAGACTTGACAGATACTAGCAGATACTTCAGTGTCCCTTAATCCAGATAGCAGCCCGACTCAAGCCTATGTTTGCCTCACTGTGGCTGGGCGTCATGTGCGAACACAGAGTGTCATGACAGTGGTGAGGATCCCAGATGGCCTGATCGAGCACAGCCGTGCCGACAGAATCAGGAGCGTAGCATGTCAGATGTGCACAACGAGGAAGAGCCCGATATATATGGCAGGCCAGAGTACCTAACCGGGACTTTCTCACCTAAGATGACATTTTGGCCAGCCTTCTTATCATGCCTTGCCATGGGATGCATGAAGGAGCAGGTTTGACGCCTGTATCGGAGAGTCCAAGAAAAGAAACGTCTCACGAGTAGATGATAGATATATAACGCCGATACCATGCCGAAGCGGTCAGCCCACCATCTCATGGAATGCAAGTGCAGGATTGAGGCCCGAGACAAGCTTGATTTGTCGCTGTTTCCCGGGCGTAGATCAAGAGAGGGAGCCATCCCCCACGGGCTGGGCAGCTGACGAGCCGCGGAGGGCGTGGGGGGATCATTCCACGTCCATCTCCTCGACCGCTGCGAGGAGAGGGCCCCTTTTGCAAGCAGTTAGGTCCACGTCGATCACATGGCAGAGATGGACGGCTGTGGTGTGAGCCCTCGTGTTATAAGAGAGGAGAATAGGGACCAGGAGGCTGGGGAATAAGGTAATGAGCTAAGATGTCGGTATCAAAGAGTACGAGGCTGCCTCTGCGGAGTACGTAAGACTAGTGGACGGGCTTCATTGTTCAGAGCATGGAGCCCATCACGCCTGATTATTCCAGTCCAAGCTTCTGGCACCCCTGTGGGTATTTATTTTGGCCCCTGCTGGTCCCCTGCTCTGTTAGCGGTCCGGCCATTTTGAAACTATCACTACATAATAATATCCCCCCACTCTCTGCCTTTGCTTGTAGTCATTCATACAGGCGCTCGACTACACGTGGCGGTGGTTGTCGTCTGGATTGCATTGTTATTTGACAGTAGCAGGTTTTTAGTAAACTAGCCCGGTCCTTGTTGACAGGAACAATGGTCGATGTGAATGCCATCTCGGGCTGGAGATTGAGTGTTTCATTGCGTCTTCAAGACCCTGCCAATGGACACTGAAGGCCATCCCTCTCCTCCTCCTCTCGCATTCAGCAACGCGGTGTACGTCCATAGGTATGCATAGATACGGACACATAATAATCAGTATATCTCTCCCCATATAGGTCCATCCTATGCACATCCTCCCGTACCTATTAGCATGCCCCCGAGTAGATTGGCTAAGCAGGCGGCGATCCGGGGTTCGAGCATGGGCCGGGCAAGCAAAGCTTGTCAAATGCACCCACACCGTCAAGCTCGCTACATGTACCAGCGGATCTCGGTATGTAGGCCCAGGAGGAGGGGGAAGTCAGCCTGCATTCCAGGATCGGATCAGGATACCCTCTTACGGGCAGTCCTTGGGTGGGATGCAGCCACCAACAAATGTCCCTTGTCAGAAGAGGAGAAGGAGCATGCGAGCGTGCCAGAGCGGGCCTCTCGCCATGTCTGTCCTGTCCTATTGACACTGGTGAAGCTGGCACACTGTCAAATGCGAGCTAATGTACGTATACTGGAGCAGCAGAGCGTCCTTTGTCTCCATCTCCATCTCCACCTCGGTTTGGTGGGGTTTGAGCTTGCGTGGTGTTGGCAGCTCTAGTCAGTGTCAACAGGCAGGCCAGCGGCATGCGATTCATGTCTTCTAATCCATCCACCTCCATACGGGTCTATGGTTTGACCAGGCCCAATCAGCAGTAGGTAGAAGAACTCTCAAATGCATAGGTTTAGGCGCAATCTTGATTCCTGCAGCATGTAGGCACGCAAGCATGCAGAGAAAGCAGCAATGGGAATTTTTTGGCCTATAGATAGCCCTGAGTCAATGATGTGATCCGATGCGATACCGGTGAGGGACTGAGACACGATCCCAGCCATGTAGACGGAGATAGAAGCCCACCTCCATCCCCATCTAAACCTGCAGTGTTGCTGTAGGCACAGGTCGGTTACCTTCCAGATAATACATACATGTCTGCCTACTTGACAATGTCTCGACATGCCGCTTTTGGTAGTGGATACGCACCATTGGCGATTATTGGCACACAGACAGACACGCAGGCAATGCAGCGAAACGCTACTAAGTGGCGACGGCGGGTATAGTCTCCCACCCGCCGTCGGCGGTGGGCCGGATGCCTCCTCGGCGACAAATTTGTTGATACACGGCAACCAGCAGCTTCGACGATTCACGATGGCTTCACATGACACCACTCCTTGGAGCGGTGTACCGGCTTATAGAGCCAGTTCCGCGGGACGGCGCCGGCCTAGTCAGTGGGGAGCGGTGAGTGGGGGAGTGAGCAGCAAGACTTGGACCGAAGCTATGGGGGTTTGGAGATGAGAGTCGTTGCAGTTGCAATTCCAGCTTGTGGTGGGCGAGGCACCTCAATCAAATTGCATCATATCACATTATGCACGAATATGCCGTGCTGCGTCAATTGGATCGTCGCTCGAGATAACGAGAAAACGAAACGGGTGTTGCGTCGAGCGGAAAAGATATGATGTGCCCGCAACCTCAGTCTAGTGAGACAGGCCGTTGCCTTCGCGCTTGCGGTTAGGAAGCGGGTACTCACTGCCGCCTTTTGCCCTGATGCAGACGATATGTCGTTTCGGTCCAGCAGTCGATGGGCCCTGGGCGAAGGTGGGAGCTAGGGACTTTGCCTCTTGGGGAGATAAGGGACGAAAACTCGATGGCACGGTGGCCGGACTATTCATTCTGGGTCTCTCCCGTGGTGGGTTTCGCATTGGGGTTGCATCTGGAACAGAGCCAAGATGCACCACTATATGCATGTGCGACACCAGCTGCGACTAGAGACCATATCTATCTAATCAAATCATCGCTTCTGCCTTTTGGGGTGGAGGGTGGTACGCCGGCCGGAGATGTCTATGTGTGTGCATGGGTGTTATGTATGATGCGCGCCTGTGTATCGTATCAATATGCAATGCAGCCTCCTTACCTCGAATCAACTCGAAGGGATCTTCTCCCTAAGGTTTCGATCCCCCCGCCACTGTTGTCTCCCCCTCCCCAGCCGTCCATTGCATGCTGTGATGGAAACTTCGGAGGTCGCCGCTCGAGCTCGTGTTGATCATGGACGTATCACCAACACGATAACCACGGTTCTGCGTAGCGCACACTCGCCCCCCAGACACCTTGCGACGGGGCACACATAGCGTCCTTGCTGCGGTGCGCATGTACTTGGTCTTCGATCCATGCCGGGTGGCCAGGCGGCAATGTTGCCATTGGCTCGCGGAGCATGAATTGTCGGTGAAGCGTGCATGAAACGGATGCTGAGGAATAAGGTTTGCTCAGGGGTTGTTGCGGCATCCTGTTTCTGGAATCTGGATGCTCTTCACCTTCTGTGAGGATTCTTTGTGCCTGTTCCAGGCCAGGGCCGACCGTGAGACTGGGCTGGGCTCCCTGCCACGAACAAGACGGTCGGTCGGAATGGGCATTAACTCTGACGTTGGTCCCCCCACGGAGCCCGTGCTCACACGACCACGACCCTCAAACTTTGGGCGATTGGCGGGGAATGTCCATGTGGCCTTGGCCCTGTGCGGGATGACGAGAAGGATTTGCAGACCATCCGTGGCAGCCGACGTAGGTCGTAGTAGGGAAGTGCCAACCTTCTGACGATACACATGGCGTAGCGGTGCAGATCCGCTATGATGCGGGAGGGGCAGCAGGTTTGGCTGGAAGGAAGCGAGGAGCAGCACTGTAAAAAAATAAAAAAATGGTACCGGCACCACACGCTTAGCTAGCAGCCGGGTCCACAGACAGTGCTGGTCCGCGCTGCACTGTGCTCCAGTGCTGTACTCGCGGTCGGCCACCGTGGGAGCTGCACGTTCTGCACAGTACCCGGTCATTGGCGCTGCAGTGGCTCGTAACTGCGTCAGGACTTGGAGGGGCAGAGGCAAGCCAGATACCGCCTGCCCCACCAGCTGGGGACGCCTGTAAAAATGGAACAGGCAGCCCTGAGATGGGCTGGAGTCGCCGGGGGAGATCGTGAGGAGGGGCTCAAGGGCTTCGCTCCCCGTTGGAGCCAGTCAGTGCCCGGTGTTGGCTGGCCGAATGATGGGCAACGCCTCATCCACCTTGTCCGTTAGCAGTACCTGCCAGCTACTAGCCCACGACGGCCAGGTACTATTGCCAGACACCGCCGTGCTAGCCATCGCCTCTGCGCAGTCCTTGCTCACACGAGTCGCCAGGTACACCCGCGGGTATCTCCAAAGTCCTCATTCTTACGCCCAAGCCCCAATCGCCCACCCCCCAAAAGCCAAGTCACTCCCGCCAACCGTCCCCTTGCCTCGTTATTACTGACCGTTCCTTCCTAATTCTTACTATTTCCACTGCCAGTTCCTCAAACTTGATTTATGGTCCTCGTCTCATCTTGTCAATCTGCCTTCATTTCCTCTCCTCTGCCAAACCTTGCTCCAACCTTGCCTTGCACCCCTTATAATCACGTTGTTCCATTACTCGACACTCGTTGATACGATACCGCTTTGGCTCATTGTTCGCCTACCCTTGTTCCATCATCTCGCCGACCTCGGGAATGACCTCGTCACACACTTCATAGATTGCCCACCACCGAGACCTGAGCTCGCTCGTTTGTCGGCTTTCTACGGTTTTTTTCCCCTTCACCACACTACTGTACAATGTCGAGCTCCAATGCGCCCCGACGGCGCTTTGCTCCTGTGCCCATCGAAACCACCTTCCAATCTGTGCGGAAGTCGAAGCAGCCCGAGACCATCCACATCGGTCCCAGCGCTGAGTTGACCCCAGAAGCCTCCCCGCGCTCTCCTCACTCGCCCTTCTCGCCCGAATTTGACCCCGAGACACACCCGCACCGCCGTTTTGCTCCACAGCTCATTGAGACATCGAGACGAACTCGCCGCTTGGGCGACGCAGGCCCTGCTACGAAACCAGCCGATAAGACCGACATCACACCTTATATAAAGAACATATACACTACCAAGTCGCGAGCTAGACGAAGACTCGATTCTACCTTCGAGGATGACCATGAACATGTCGAGCCGCCCACGCGGCGTGAATCCGAGGATGAGAACGTCAAGGCCTACTTGCTAGAGCTGGCCGCGAAAGAGGTGGAGAGACAGATCCAAGAGGCCGCCCTGGCCGCTTTCCCCAACAGTCACGCCCGCGAGGGTGGCATTGCCCATTTCTATTTTCCTGAGGGTTCTGAAAGTGACGGCTCCTCGGGGAACGAGTCCCCAACGACAGAGGAGCCCAAACCAGTCAGGGTTCGGCGTAAGTCGTCTGACCTGGGATTGAGTTGGTGGCATAAGCACATGCAAGAGCATGCCCAACATCTGGCCCATGAGCGTGAGGCTACCCAGGATGAAGTTATTTTCAAGGATGATGGGGACACCGCCATGGTATCCGACGTTGATTTGGACAACATGGACCTATCCCTTCCACCTGACCCCCTCTGGACTACCTCTGGCAAAGTCTCTCCGGTCGATCGCCAAGACTCAATGGACGAGGATCTCATCCCCCCTCCTCATGTTCCCGTAAAGAAGCCTACCGAGAACGAGCGGATGGTGGATGCCCCCCGCCCCCCAATGCCCAAGATCCCAGCACCTACACCTTTCGCTGCAGCCCCAAAGATTCCCGCCCAGACAGGTTTCCGCGGATTTGGTCGACCCCTGCCCAACTACGGGTTGAGATCAGACTCTCCCCAGGCTAAGAAGCTGCGAAAGCTGGTCTCCCCACCCATGCTCGGCAAAGACCTGGTGTTTCGCCAATGCCCTTCACCCAAATTCACCAAATTGGAGCCAACCCACCCCTTCGACGATGATTTGGATGCCCATCGAGATTTGTCCGGGCAAGGCGGTCTCTGGCATGGCTTCTGTTTCAACAATGAGCCTACCGAGGAAAACCATGGACTCTGGTCCCCACCACCTGGCAACGGGCTGCTCATCACACCCCATTCTCCGGGTACGCCGGCTGACGACTCTGATTCGCATCTGATTAGTGAGGAGCCAAGCTCTGTATTCTCTTCGAGCGCTTCGACTGGGAGCTCTGCCACGTCTGAGCACCGCCAGCGGAGTGGAGAAGCCAAGGGCCTTCATATGCTCCACGGGCTCAACGAACGCCTCCAGCGGGAAAAGGCCGAAGCTGAGAGGAATGAGAAGATTGCGGAAGAGTTCACCGATGAATTTATCACGCAGGTTTACAACTACCTTTCCTTGGGCTATCCCGCTCTTGCGGCCGCCTACGATGATGAACTTGCCAAGATAAGCCACATCGACATCTTGGAATTGAGAAAGAATGATTCCAAGCAGTTGGCCAAGGGCCACATGGTTGAGATGACTCTCGAGGATACTCCAGATGAGGATAGATGCCCCAGATGGCGAGCGCTCAAAACCTACATCTATGAATGGGCACGACAGCACCCCAACCTCAACGCTATGGACCCTCCTGCCTGGGGCGTAAGAGAGAGACGTGGCAGTTGGGCAATCTAGAGAGCAAGACTAGATTCCTGTTTTTTTCCCCTTCTTTTTCTTAAACTTGCACTATACTTCTTTCTTCTTCTTGTTAAACTACAGCACACGAGCGTTAAAGAGCCTGGTTTGGTCGCCAACGTATATAAAAGTCGGATTTTAAGCTTCTTTTTCTTCTTCGGGTGGGCCTTGGTTATCGGCGAGCATTCCATGCTACTGTTTTCTTCCTTCTGAACGACACTGGAGGGTACAACGAGATGTTACGGTTTCTTTATTTCCCCTTTCTTTTTTTTTCTTTCTTCTTCTTTCTTTCCTTTTTCGGAAACTTCCCGCTACGGGACATATGGCAAGGCGAGCAGGAGCGATGGCATTTTGAAAGCATTACTTTGGTTTGGCGTTGGTGGAGAACACCTTTCTTTGCAAGAACAAATGGTCTGAAGAAGTCAGTCACTAGTACACCAAGTGTATAACTGTTGTCTGGTTAGATTTAAATTTCATGTTGCCTCTGGGCACTACAACTATCTTGATGCTCCTTTCGCCTTCACAGTGAGCCAGGGGGTTTTCACTGAGCCTCTTGTGATAGGAATGCTGACCTTTTCCGAACTGCTAAGCTACACACTTGTACATATGAGGTGTAGATGAAACCTGACTGTGGATTGTTATTCACTGGCAAGGCATGAGGTAACGGCGTGTAGAGTCGCTCTTTTTCTCTTCGTATTGACCGTTTCTGTAATCACAGGTAGTTCGCATCTTGATGGATGGTAAATGTCAATGCATTATATTTGCCAGAAACGATGAACCCCAGGTCTACATAACCAACCAAAAAACGCCCAGAATAGCCGCGGTAACAGCAGAAAGATTTTACTCATTTCCTCTTTGAAAACGACTTGGCTACTTTTTGCACCTTGGAGGGCGGGGCAGCTTCTACATCACTCTCTTCATCCTCGCCCATTGAGTCGTCCACATCATCGTGATCAACCTCATCCTCGTCCAATAGGGACTCGCCTTCATCCTCGCTATCGTCGATTTCCTCCTCAAAGTCATCATCCTCATCACTCGACTCCCCAATAGTCCCATTCAAGGCAGGGACGTCAGAGTCGTCAGAGTCTTCAGTCACACGTCTCCTGCGAGACTTGAGGCCGCTGCCCAGCTCCTCATCCTCCGCCTCGCCCTCAACCCAGACCACGTCTTCCTCCTCGTCCTCATCCTCGCCCTGGCCAATGGCCCCGGAGGTCCGCTGCATCCTCCTTCGCAGATCCATCTGGCCCTCCAGCATGTCCAGCTTTCCCTTCAACGCCAGGAGGCTGTTCAGGCCCTTGGACCGTTCTGTCAGTACCTTTTGCAGGCCGCTGAGGCTCTGGATGACCTTGGGCTGGGAGGCCAGGGCGCCGCCGTGGGCGATGAGGGTGAGCTGCACCCAGGTCATCAGAGTGCCCGCCCTACCAGGCCTCCTGTAGAGACGGGCGGCGAGCTTGTTTAACAGGCTGCCGGCCAGCGCGCTGTCGATGTTCTCGATGGTGTTCTGGATGGTGAAGCGGTCGGTGGTGTGCAGGCACGATTCGAGGAGGTCGACGTCGTCGGTCCGGAGGGCCTGTGTGAGGACGGTGGTGAGGGACTGGTGGGAGGGGGGCACGATGGCGGCCCGGGCGGGCTGGGAGACGGCGTTGCTGGCGCCCGAGGACTGCTGCAGCAGGGCGGGCACGTCGATGGTGGCCTCGTTGCCCCTGAGGAGCTCGCCAAATGACGGCGAGGTCTCCTCGCCGTCCTCGCCCCCCGACTCGCCGTCGTCCTCTGCGGCTCGCGACGGCTTGCCGACGTGGTTGCCGTTGAGCTGGGGGGCTTCGGTGCCGGTCATTGACTCGTCGGCAATGGCGGCCTCCTCCTCGTCTGTGAAGCCGTCGTCGCTGGCTTCATCGGATGATATCTCAATGGCGTCCTGCTGCGAGCTGGGGAGGGCGTCTGTCCCGGCAACAGAGGTCCTGGACTCGTCGATCACGCTCTTGGTTGCCCGTCTGGCGCTGGACTTGACGGTGGGTGCTGCCAGCTTCCCTGGCGCTTTGCGCTTGGTTGACATGGTTTGGTTATCGAGGCACGAGGGCTGGCGCTCGTTCTCTGGTGGTTGTATGTGGGTAGATGCAGGTGGGCGGGATGGGATTGCGGCTCAGAAACGAACAATCGCTAAGGGGGAATTGAAAAAAATGACCGAGTCGATCGAATGCCTAGACTGCTATTCCTGAATTTCAATTCAAACCATCAATATGATTATAATGAGCCTTGTTGGCGTCCACCGCAATCCCGGGCCTAAGAAAATTTCACGACCGCTCTCTGGAGTGGTGAACTTTTTTTTTTTGGGCGCTCTGACTTCGGGTCCTATCAGGCCGCTCGCCCCATAACGGTATCAGATAGCGTCCTGATAACACAATCGTTATCGATAACAGTGTCACGTGCCATGGCTTGTCCTAAGCTTAGTCATCATGGCGCTTGGAGGTCGGGATGCCTTAGGATGCACCAGTGACTCACTTAGGCTCTCAGCATTAGCATTGTTGGATCACCGGATGATCGTGAATCTGACACATCTCAATCGTGGCGAAAAATTTCCGCTCATTTGTGCATTGCCTTTCTGCGAGATTCGTGCCAGATATTCGATGCTTCTTCTATTACTCTTCATTCATCATTATCACCAGCCAATGGTGATGTCGTAACCCCCTCAATGGCGTGATCTCATTGATTGGGACGGAGGGTGAGAGATCTTTGGAATGTGGGAGTGCTTCGTTGGATGACCACATCATCGATTTCGAGATCAATGTAAGTCAAGGAAGCTGGAAGCTGCGCATCGCGTCACACAAAGTTCCCGATTTTATTCTTATGGAAATATTGGATGATGGGGTCGGAAGTTTGATCGCATCCGGAGGACGCCACTTGTCCGGATGGATCTATGTGGTGCTTGCGACGGATTGCAGCCTTGTAATATTAAGTTATTAACACGTATCTCCATCCGCAAGTCTACGAGGAGGCATCGCCTTGATCCGTACGACTAAGTGGGCCCCTAAGGGTCCAAGCACGATTGGGAGCGACGAAGTGCTTGTTCCTTTCTTTCACGGCCCAAGGAGGGGATCGTTCTTATTACGACGAGCGAAAAAAAAGTTGGCAAGGCTGCACGCCCAAGGTTACACAGGCAGTTGCAGGCAACCCAACTGCCTCTAATGATATCAACACGTGAGCAGCGGCGACTGCTCGTAAATAATATGGCGCTAGCCAGAACAGCTTCTTACCAAAGTCAGTACAAACTATGGGAAGATGCTTCGGGAAGGCGCTGGAGCTTGTGATGCAACAGGCGACTGCTGCCAGCGCCCGAGAGCTAGCAAGCTTCATAAATGGTGATGTGTTTGCGAACCCAACCACCAAAAAGAAAACAATCCATTGACTTTGCCAACGCTCCGTTTGAGAGGGTCTGTGTGTTGTGAACACTTGAGAGCTCTCGACGCGCACAACATCGCATTGCAGAGCGCGTTCGGGCACGCACTGACCACCCCCGTTTCAACCTAAACCCCCGTTAAAGCGGAGTCAAGAAGTTTTCCCAGCCATTCGTCGCCCCGATAAAAGCACTAAAACGGCTCACCGGAGTGTCCCTTCTTCTCTCATAAATACCACGGCGCCTCGCTCGGCCTATAATTGAAATTTTTTTTTGACGTGCTCCGCGCTTTTTCCTCACGGACCCTCCCACACCACCATTTTCTGCCTATCCTGCACCAACTGCGCAACCTGCGCCGGCCTGCACCGTATATAATAAAAAAACAGAGGTACATCTCCCACCACCCAACCCCTACCCAATTTCTTGTACCTTTTCCTGCCAGTCGCAATGCCAATCACCCAAGCCTTTTGGTCTGCGACTCGGCAACCAGCCAAAAGCAGCTGCGCCCAACCGCAGTTTGCAGCCACCACCTCACACTTGCCCTCACTTGGGGCGCATATTCGCCGCTGCTCGCATTCGCCTAATAAAAGCTCCCTCCTTCCCCTCCTTCACTTGCATCATTCATTTCAATCATCTTTTCTCTCTGTCGCGCCTGGCGCACGCGCCCTTGCCTCCATCCCCACATCGCATCGTCGCGACCCGACAACAACCCGAGCTACAGCATACTGACGCGTTTTCTCCTCCATCATCTAGCTTGCCGATTCCTGGGATCATCGCGACCCTTGTTCTCTCCTTACGTCCGTCGAGTAGTTAAATCGCAGCTATCATTTCGAACAATATACCTGATATCCACAAACACGCGCGAATCCTGAACACGTCCTTCCTGAGCTGCGCATCCCCCCCCAACAGATCGTTGCGCGCGCGCTTTCCATCGCTCGTCGCATTTGATGTTGTGTCGCGCCATTTAGACTTCACCACATCGTCAGCGCTATCGCGTCGCGTGTGGCACAGTCATGGCCTCGCCAAAGCCGGAGTCAAATTCCACCCCGCCTCCAAAGCAAGCGGATGATGCGGCAACGAAAGAATCAAAGGCAGAGGTCAATGGGTATGTTTGCTCTTCATCCCCATGCTCGCTGTCTCGTTGTGTAAAGTCATTAGATGTTGACTGTAGTCCTTTTTGTCGTACTAGCAGCCATGCACCCGAGTCCAAATCGAAGTCTGAGGCCGAGACGCAGCCCGAAAAGCAACTCTCAAACGGTACCGGCGCCGGGGAGGAGAATGGTACTCCCAATGGAGCGGACAAGGATGTGGAGATGAAGAACGGTGACGGATCAAAGGACATCGCCTCCCCGACAGAAAAGTCCGATACCTCAGACAAGAAAGAAGGCGAAACGAAGACGACGCCCAAGGAGTCCGCCAAAGACAACGACGTCGAAATGAAGGAGTCGGAGCCCGCCAAAGAGACGTCAACGGCGCCCAGTGACGAGAAGAAGGATGCCGATGCCAAGGAGTCCACCCCTAAGTCGACGGAGGCGGGCACTGAAGACCCGGACAAAACCAAAGATTCGCAATCTTCGCCTGGAGATGCAGGTGAGTCCGGGGTTGATCTTCAACCCGCCAGTCTCTCGCAGCTGGCTATCGATGGACCAGAACCTAACACATCACCAGTCGAGCCTTCCGTGGAAGTATCCATGACCGATGCGCCTGCGTCTAAGGTCCCTAGAGAGCGCGACGACGACGGCGGAGAGGAACCAGCACCGAAGAGAGCAAAGACGGAACCTAAAGAAGAGGAGCCAGCAGCATCAACCCCGACTGCGGATGGTCAGGAGATTTCTGTCATGACTGAATTTCCGAAACCCAAGTTCGATGAGTTCACTGAGTGGTATGATACGAAGAATAGCGCCAAGGAGATCACGAACCATCGCAGACGGGAAATGCGCCGGACTGTTGCCCGCGTCAAAAAGACGAAGCACGGTGGCGAGTTTCGAGATTCCGTCCAGAAGCTCTGGCCTGCGTTGTGGGAAAAGTACTCACTCAAGATCGAGAAGCCGATGGACTTGTCCGAAATAGATCGCAACTTGCGAGACGCCAAGTACAAGACGTACGGTGACTTCAAGGCCGACCTATCTCTTCTTGTAGAGAACTCCCAGGCCTACAATGGCCCTGATCACTACATCACCATGGCTGCACGCGGCGCTAGCAAGACGGTTTGGGATGACGTCGTTTTCTTGCCCGAGGAAGAGCCCTCAAAACCCAAGCCTCCCCCTAAAACAAATCGCATCCGAGAACTTCGTGTTGGCAGCAACGTCAAGTCTGAGGCTCCTTCAGGGGGCTCTTCCCCTACTCCGACCACAGGACCACCTGCCAAGACTGCCCAGCCTTCAGGCGAGGCGAGGCGGAGTTCTTCAGTTCATGATGGCGATAGACCCAAGAGAACTGTGCGTGCACCCAAGCCAAAGGACATTGACTACTCGTCCAAGCCTGCGCGAGTGAAACTTCGACCTGAACTTCAATTCTGTGACGAGGTTCTTGCAGAGCTGACTTCGCAGAAGCACTGGTCGCTGAATCAATGGTTCCTCGATGCAGTGGACGCTGAAGGGCTGGGAATTCCTCATTATTATTCCGTGATTAAGCATCCGATGGATCTGGGGAAAGTATCCAGAATGCTTGCAAATGGAGAAATTGCGAGCTTCAAGGAGTTCCACAAAAACGTTACTCTCATGTTTGACAACTGCTATCAGTTCAACGGTCCCTATGAGCAAGGCGGGGTTTCGGCGCTTGCCAAGCAGCTCCAGGACATATACACCGCACAGATGAAGAACAAGGATGCATGGCTCGCCAAACATGCGAAAGCAAACCCTCCACCAGCTTCCGTCTCAAACCCTAGTGATGATGATGACGACGAAGATGAGGAGGACGGAGAGGATGCCAATGCTGTTGCTGATCATACACGGGCAGTCAAGGAACTAGAGGCGCGACTTCGAGAAGAAATGGACAAGCAGGCTAATCTCTTCGCCGCCGAGCAGCCAAACCAAAGCATGATCACAATCCAACAGGGAATCGTTTCCATGGTCCAGGAGGCGCTTCTCAAGGCGAAGACAACGCTGAACGAAGTCAAGCAGAAGATTCCCGCTGGCAAGCCCAAGAAGTCTAAGCCTGCAAAGGCAAAGGCTGCTGGTGGAGGAGCAGGACGCAAAGCTGGCGGTGCAGCTGCTCATCCCAAGAAGGCTGGCACTGGCCCGGCCAAGAACAAGAAGAAGAATCTCACGGCTGCTGACAAAGACCATATTGCTGGCGCGATTAACGATCTCGAATACCCGCATCTTGACCGAGCTATCGATATTATCAAACGCGATACCGGTCAGATGGTAAGTTGCAGCTGTCAAGTCCTATCCATCTTTAGCGTATACTAAATCTTTTCTTGCAGGAGAGCGAGGACGGCGAACTCGAGCTGGATATCGACCAGCTTAGTAACGATGCACTCTTGAAACTCTGGGAACTCTGTAAGAAGGCGTTGCCAGGCTTTGCCAAGGATGCAGCGGCCCAGTCCCCAGAGGTCCATCGTGCTGCACCATCATCCAAAGCGGCGGCCAAGACGGCGGCCAAGCCAAAGAAGAACAAGCCCATGAGTGCCCTGGAGCAGGAGGCAAGAATAGCTCAGC